TCGTACCAACAGTTTGGTTTGGTTTGGTTTTGTTAAATAATTATTTTTTAATTTTAATTATTCTGATCCGATCTGTACCAAGATGTTTGGTTTGGTTAACGAAAACAATATTCCTAACTCGACGAAAACCCGTACCGATCTGAAAATTATACATACTCTATTATTTAAATACAAAACAAGAATTCAAAGATAAATACAATCAGCATTTTGTATCACCCATTTATCTCTATTGTATCACTTCTTTATTAGCATTGTATCACTGCTTTATCACCATTCTATCACTTCTTTATCACCCGGGTACTGTAGCACTTTTTGGTCAGAGAGGAATTTATGAATTTCCTATGTTTTCTAGTTTCGACTTTTGTTCCCTTTTTTACCTGTAACTTTACAACCGTTTATCCAAATTTTATATTCTTTATATGGTTGGATTCAGCATGAAAAACTAAAGGACCTAACATGGAACAAATGTCAAAATTATTTATATAAATGTAGAGAATTCAGTAAAAATAACACTCAAATGTTCAAACAACAAACAGAAGTGGCTCCCAGTAGATCTTCAATATATATTGAATGATATAGTGACTAAGTTATTTGATTTCATACTTGGATGAATTAGACTACTGGATTTTTGTATTTTACAAGGATAATTTGGTGTATTTGTTCAAGAACTTATGTTATGTGAAAGTATTATAAACTGTATTTTTATTAGTATGTTTTTATTACGGTACTACCGGCGTACCAAACCAATCGGAACCAAATATTAGGTTAACCGATCCGAAGTCTTTGGTTTGGTTAACAGAAGAGCATTTTACCGTTCCAAACCGATCCATGCCCAGGCCTATATAGAAGTATCGAGAGAGAAAGAAACAAAAAGAGAGAGAGAGAGAGAGAGAGAGAGAGAGAGAGAGATATATATATATATATATATATATAGTTTCTCTCATTAGATGAATCACTAAACTTACAATTCAAGACTTATATGTATAACAGAAACTAACACCAGCTCATCCCTAACTAACTAGCAATAGAGTGACGGAGGGAGGAGAAATAGAGATGAAGGAAAAGAGGAGGAGGAACTGGAAGAAGAGGTTGGAACTAGAAATCTGAAATTTCATTTGTCTTCCTTATGGATCTGGACCTCCAAGCGATAGAGTTTCTGCTAAAATGGGAGACCTAGCATTTTCCCCTTTTTTCGAGAAGAAGAGAATGGGTTATTATTATTTTTTTTTGGTTTGAACCACGAGGTGGTCCTGGATGGGCCCCAACTATGGGTGGCACCTTTAAGCTTTAACCACAACCCAGACTAATCCCCGCTCACACCGGGTCGGCCCGTAAGGGGTAAAGTGCTGGCCAAAGTGGTGACTCCATACGAGAGCAGGGATCGAACCCCTGACCTGAAGAGAATGGGTTATTCATGTTCTTATTTGTTGTTGTTTTTCAATTTTTTTTTCTTTTTCATTAATAAACTTTTTAACCCCCAATAACAGGTTTCTCTATTATTCCTATCAATGGTATAGATTAACTCATCTCAATCTATATTCTTTGGTGTATGGTACACCAAAGGACTCTAGAATTTTCCTTATTTTTTATTTTATTATAAAAGGTAACATTGGAAGTCAATTTACATCTATACAAATAGCTTCAATTTTTCTTTTTGAAAAAGACATGGAAAACTTTGAATGGAAGTATGATGGTGGAGATAATTTATAGTTAAATTCATTTGATACTTCAAAATCTTATAAATCCTATGATTTGAATCTTTTAAAATTCATAAGTAAAAAATCTTAATTATATAATTCCATAAATAAAATCCTATAAGTAATTACATTCTGCTTAAATCCACCAGACTTTTTTAATCCCTAAATAGTCTTTTAAAATCTCAATTGAATATTAAATCGAAAACCAAACGCATTCAGTGAATAATATTGAGATGCCTAGTAAAGAAAAATGACGTACCTCTCTATTTATAGGGCCGGGCAATATTTGAGTAAAGTTGTGAGTAGATGGACGATTTTGTAAGCAGACTAGTGGCGCACATCCAAATCCAGATCCAGATCCAGTTGATGATTCTTCTCTACCTCTTACATGATTATCACTCAAATTCTCTGCAACTGCAGGCAGATTTTTGCTTAGTGGTGCAAAACCTAATGTCTTTAATTCGGGACAAAGATACACGTCCATAGTTCTTGTGGAGGAAGGCCATGCGAAAGAATAGGCATCAGGGCAAAATCTTTCAAGTCTTGTCAAAAACGATAGTTGGAAGCTATTGAGTAGTTTGGGAAACAATGTCATCGCACCACTTCCACCTGTCTCCCCTTCTTCATGGATATTGTCCTCCGTGGCAGCAACTGCTAGTACTATAGTCTCCATATTCTCACAACTATATATATGGACTTGTTGGAGATTCACAAGGAGCTTGTAAATTTCATAGGGGCATAGATATTTCAGCCTACGACAATCTCCAATTGTTAAAGATCTTACATTTTGAAAACCTTGGAATCCAGGTTGAACGTTCTTCCACAAATGCTCAACCTCATATAAACCCACCACATTCAATGTTTGTAATTGAGAAAATGCTGAGACATGCCCTTCTAAATCAAATACCACATTGAGAAAATGTTCATTTTTTTCTTTTGACCATTGCCCAGTTCTCAAATACTCCACTACCAGTTCCTCTAGATTTGGTAACCATGAAATGCAATTTGAAGGAAATAGTGCATTACAACTTACTCCCACTTGTGCTACTTTTGATTTAGATGAGGATCCAGCAACTTGATCATGTTGTTGGTCATTCCTAGTCTCTTTCATCTTGTCCAGATGAGAAGCCTTCACACTTTCATCATTGGGCTTTATGACCTGTACATTAATTAATTCTACATAAGTAATGAACTTACACATGAGTAAAAAAGAAAGAAATTTAGGCTGGTGCTATTTCCACAATTTGTCTGATTTCCAAATTGCCTTAATTATATTCCCACATCCTCTGTCATAATTTTTGAGAAATAATAATAATCCCCTTCCTCACCTATTTATCAATAAACAATTTTCCCACCAACCAAGATTATCATCCCACCTTTTTCTTCTTCTATATTATATTCTTATACACCCTAATCTTTTTTCTCACACGTCTTTTCTCATATTTAGATCATGCAAGCTCCTACTTTGTTTCCTTTGCTATATATTTTAACTCTAAAGACAGCTCAATATTCTTAATTTTCAAATGAAAATCATAGGTGTGAAGATTTAGAAATATATATATATATATATATATATATATATATATACTTAATCTCCTATTAAGGGACACTCTAAACACACTACAAATTGTTTTTCAACAATCCAAACAGTTTATTTCTCATTTGTATATTTATAGATCATACTCACAAAAAATTAGACAATTCGAAAATCGTTTCAATATGTAATTATGTTCTACAAAAGTGATGAACACGATACTTCAAGAAAGTACTAAAATCACAATAATTTAATTGAGTGCTCAAATGATATCCGATTCAAGTGATTTTTTCAGAGATAATTTTTGTTAGTGAAATACAATGTAAGGCTCACCACGCGCTATATTTCAATAATCTGAGCCATCTAGGTTTTAGATATTCCCTCAAAGATCATCTCTGTATTTTAAAAAAAAAATCACTTAAATATGAAACCATTTGACCACTCAATTAAATGGTTGTTATTATTGTCTTTTCTTGAAATACCGTGTTCGTCTATTCTACCATGAAACTATATTTATTGCATATTCAGAAAAACATAACTATTATTCTAACTTATGTATGTAGAAATAATAATGCAAAAACCAATATTCATCATAAATTAGTTGCAAAAATTTGAAACGCATCTAAAATCTCCAATAGACCAAACATGATTAAGTTCAACCCAAATCAACTTCGAGAACTGGAACGACAATATCAAGTATATACCATTCAAGCATCAAGTGTATACCTCATAGGTGAAGTCCCGTTGGTTTCCCGTGTAGAAACCACATAGCTTTTGGAGATAAGAAAGCTTCAAAAAAGTTAATCTTGGGAACATGAGAGATGCATTATCATCTTCCATTCTCTCCTTTGATATGATCTCTTCCACTTTATAACACTCATAAACTGTTAAGCTTTGGAATTGTACCAAGTTTTGTGCTATGGATAGTGAAAAGACATATTTTAACTCATCACAATTGTCAATTGCAATGGATCTTAGGTTCATAAAGGAGTACTTGTCTGGCATTTTGCCACGACACACAAATTTTAATTTGTGAACATTATATATATATATATATATATATATATATATATATATATATATATATATATATATATATATATATATACTTAATCTCCTATTAAGGGACACTCTAAACACACTACAAATTGTTTTTCAACAATCCAAACAGTTTATTTCTCATTTGTATATTTATAGATCATACTCACAAAAAATTAGACAATTCGAAAATCGTTTCAATATGTAATTATGTTCTACAAAAGTGATGAACACGATACTTCAAGAAAGTACTAAAATCACAATAATTTAATTGAGTGCTCAAATGATATCCGATTCAAGTGATTTTTTCAGAGATAATTTTTGTTAGTGAAATACAATGTAAGGCTCACCACGCGCTATATTTCAATAATCTGAGCCATCTAGGTTTTAGATATTCCCTCAAAGATCATCTCTGTATTTTAAAAAAAAAATCACTTAAATATGAAACCATTTGACCACTCAATTAAATGGTTGTTATTATTGTCTTTTCTTGAAATACCGTGTTCGTCTATTCTACCATGAAACTATATTTATTGCATATTCAGAAAAACATAACTATTATTCTAACTTATGTATGTAGAAATAATAATGCAAAAACCAATATTCATCATAAATTAGTTGCAAAAATTTGAAACGCATCTAAAATCTCCAATAGACCAAACATGATTAAGTTCAACCCAAATCAACTTCGAGAACTGGAACGACAATATCAAGTATATACCATTCAAGCATCAAGTGTATACCTCATAGGTGAAGTCCCGTTGGTTTCCCGTGTAGAAACCACATAGCTTTTGGAGATAAGAAAGCTTCAAAAAAGTTAATCTTGGGAACATGAGAGATGCATTATCATCTTCCATTCTCTCCTTTGATATGATCTCTTCCACTTTATAACACTCATAAACTGTTAAGCTTTGGAATTGTACCAAGTTTTGTGCTATGGATAGTGAAAAGACATATTTTAACTCATCACAATTGTCAATTGCAATGGATCTTAGGTTCATAAAGGAGTACTTGTCTGGCATTTTGCCACGACACACAAATTTTAATTTGTGAACATTCTCGAAGGTAACTGACTTTAAGATGGGGAAGGCTGGTTGACGACGATGAGTCCAATCTGTTCCATTCATAAGATACTCTATGTTGTTGTCATACATGATTGATAACACTTTCAAGTGTTGAAAGCCCTCTTGATCATCTAATTCCTCCATCACATACTTTAAATTGTATGTCTTGTGTAGGCTTAAGTCTTCAGATTGCCTCAAGAGATATCTAACTGCTCCAATCTCCATATATTCCTTTACATCACCACGAAGCATCAAACTATTTTCGAACAGATAACCAGGCATTCGATTCTTGAAACTAATATTGATAGATACATGAAATCTTATAGGCTGGCTTTTTAAAAGAAACTCTTCATTCTGCAACATCTGAACATTAGGGATTTTTATGGCTAAGACTTTTAAATGATCAGATAGAGACATCACCTCATCAAGGCTTGCCATGCTCGTTTCATCCTTGCTTCCTACTGTTGGCCCCCAATTGAGAAAGCTTTCTGCCATGTACAACTCTTCTAATCTCCTTAAGTTGGATAAGACACCATGAGGAATTTCTTCAAGTCCTTTACACTCTGTTGCATCCAGCATCCTTAACCGATGAAGAAGTCCTATTTCTCTAGGCAACTTATCAATTTGAGAGCGAGCAAAGCTGAGGATCTCCAAATTCTCCAATCCTCCAATAACATGAGACATGTCTCCCAATTTGCAATCCTCTAGACACAAGGTATGAAGGTACTTGGATTCTCCATGTGCTAGAGTTCTTGTCGAGGCCAAATAACTTGACATATCCATCCCCAAGAAAGCTAAAACCTTGAGTTCTTTCAACCTTTTAAAGTGGTTGGAATATTCTGAATTTGAGGAATTTTTCAATTGTAGAAGCTCAAGTTTTGGGTAATCCAAACAATCAGTAATATCTTCATCTAATTTAGCATCAATTAACGAAATGGCACTGCAATGTTCTCGGTTTGTAGCTTTTTGTACTCCTGGCCATCCTCCACCTCCACCTTTCGCATCAAATGATCTTACCATAAATCTATGAGGATCTTTTGAGGCAATTGATATGGCAACATCACGAACTACGTCATGCATTTTGATACATTCTTCCTTTTCACTATCAAGCAACAAAAATCTTCTTTTTAAATTTTCAACTAAAGAATGCACTTTGTTTCTTACATCTTCGATTGTGTTGGTGTTTCTAAAAGTTGCTCGACCCAACCCATACCTCACCAAATACTCAATCGGAACATCATAATCTTCTGGAAATAAGCAACAAAGTAAAAAGCACGACTTGACTTCACCACTATTCAATTTATCATAACTTAGTTTTATGCAAGAATAAACACTGTGTTCAATCCCAATGATGTTTTCTGGGAGAGAATTTTTCAGTTCTTGCAAGGCAGTAATCCATTCATGCTTGCCTTTACTTGGTAGAAGAGCTTTCCCAACAGTTATGATAGCAATGGGTAAACCTTTGCATTCATCTGCAATCAATTTTGCAATATGAAGCAAATCATGATTATTGTCCAAGGATTCACCTACAGTCGCTCTGAAAAGCTCCCATGCTTCTTTTTCATTTAAGGCTTGGACTCTAAATATGTTGTCTGTACACCCCATTACTTTACAAACTCCTTCATCTCGAGATGTTAACAAAATTTTACACCCTTCATGAACTTGATAAGTATAATTAGGTCCACCAGCAAGAGGAATCCCGATAGCTTCAAAATTAAGCTCTGACCATACATCATCTAATATAATCAAGATTCTTTTACTCTCCTTGATTCTCATATGTAGCTTTTCTGCTCTTCTTGATTCAATTTCCTCGACGAATTTCATATCTAATGACTCTGCAATTTCAGTTTGAATTGTCTTAATGTTTACAGTTGCGGTTACAGTTGTCATCACAACATCATCAAATAGCTGATTTGTTCCTTTTAATCTGTTGACGATATCTCTCACCATTGTGGTTTTACCCACTCCTCCCATCCCGCATATCCCAATTATTCTTGACTTTTCATTCCTCAAAGCTATAAGCACATCATTCATGACTGCTTTTCTAGATTCAAAACCCTTAAAACCATCACTAGAGATTATTGACTCTATATGTTGCAGAGGTGAAGGATTGGCAACATTATTACTCAGTTCTTGGTCAAGTTTGAGATCAAGAACACACTGAGCAATCTTCTTAGCTTTCCTACTTAGAGAATACCGCGATTTCAAACTTGGGCACAATCCATACAAACACCGCCTTTGAATATTGACTTTGTCTTCCAATTCTTTCACTTCACGAAATATTTTACTTACATCCTCTAGCCAACTCTGAACTTGATCTTTGATGGTTGCACCATTCCTTTTTGCAGCATCCACAGATCTTTGCACATCATTTTTCTTGTCATCAAGCTTTTTAAGCGCATCTGCTAGACTTTTTATGTTGGAATCGCAGTAAATTAGATAGCTGAGTTGTCTCCCAATTAGGGCCACTGGTTCTTCTACAATTTTAGATGCAATTGAAGTACCAATCTCTTCCATTTTATTTTACCTTTTTATATAAAGCCGCCAGAGACTATTGCAAATGAAACTATTGCAAGCAAGTCCACACCTACAAATTTTATCATGAAAATGTAAGGTAAACCAATAAAAACCCCACCAATCAAGTCTCATAACATTTTCAATAAAAAAAAGTCTCATAACATTTAAAAAATGTATTGTCATAGTTACAAGAACAAACAGTACACTACACACATAAAATTTTGGGTCGAATTCCAACTCATTATTAATAGATACTAGTCATTGATTTTATTGTTATCATTTTAGCTCAATTTTAAAATGTACAACCACTATGGCTCTAAATCGAATCGATACAGTTCGAGTTGACTCATATTCAGCTAGTTTTTTGCTCGTTCAAGCTCGGTTGGTAAAAGAAATGAGCTTAGTTGGAATAAAAGATAAGGCTTATTAAGGTGACTGAGATTGAGCTTTGGTGTACCCAACTCACAAAGGTGGTTAGAAACTCACATCTTTTTATGAGATCTTGTTTTGTTAAAGTTTGGTCTTAAACGTTCGGCTTTACAATCTTACAATTAATTGGAAACATGTCATGTATTTTACAATGTTCGAATTCATTGATTTTCCTTCCTCATACCCCTGAGTTGTGGTCTAGTGGTTGGGGAATCGCCTGTTTGGGGTTCGAAACTCACTGAGGTACCAAAGATTGTAGGGTTAGGCGAGTGGGCCCCAATTTAGGAGTTGAGTCAGCAAAGCTGAAAATGGATTTATGGGTTGTCGAAAAAAAAAAAAAAAGATTTTCCTCACATAGTGATGACCAATCTTTTAGGAATATTCATTTCTCTTAGGATATGTCCTACTATCATTCTTATTTGGATTTGGATTTGGTTATTTTATTAGTTTTCAATTTTCATTAAATCGGGCTAAACTTGAGCTTAAGCTCCACTTTAAAAATGAGTTCAGTCGTGTAAATTATAAGTTCTCAATTAATGGATGCTAAGTCAAGCCGAACTCAAAGGGCCACCAATGATATTGTTCTATATATCGGGTTAAGATATCAGGGGACACACATTTTGACACACTTTCTCAACCATTGGATGGTGAGTCATCCAAAAGTTAGAAATTAATCTTGAATTATTATTTTTATTTAAAAATAGTATTAATTTATTGCTTTTTGGAAATATAATTCCACACTCAAATCAAAAAGAAGAAAACAAAAGGAAATATAATTCCAGTGTTGGATTTTATCGAACCTGTAAAGGGATATTCTCACTATAGTTATCTTAATTGGTCCCATAAGATATTATCTACTATCACGAGTTAAGAGAATATTACAGACGGAGTTGCTGAAGGAATGGAGCTGCACAGGGAGACGTATTATGAAGTCGTAGAGGAAGAGAAATAGACATGCAATCAAAGTTAAAGAAGAGAGATAATTGAAAATTAAAATAAAGAGGGGAGAGAGAGAGAGAGAGAGAGAGAGAGAGAGAGAGAGAGAGAGAGTCAATAAAGTAATAAATGCAAAGTTAAGTGCATTTTAAATGAATTCTGAATTGCAGTTAGATGAGAACAAATCTAAGGGTTGAAAATGTGTGTAAAAAAAGTGTGGTTTTTTATGTGTACCCGGATCCTGATACTTAATAATTAAATTAAATGGCAAGATCAACATTCATGGAAAACCTATTAATTGTTATATGCTTAAACAATATTCTAATGAATATGAAATCGAGTGAAAGCAAAAAAAGTTGGATTCAAGAGACCTTCCTCTCTCAACCTCATATTTTAAATAGTTCATAGCCATATAATTGTTAACTAAGTATTGATAATCCTTAAAAATTGGTGCATCCTATGTTTAATTAATTAAGAGGATGATTTTCCTCAAGTCATTCATGTAAAGAAGTATGCATGTGCTCAATAGACAGTGAGTTTACTTGTAACAATCTCAAAAATAGATTTTTGTTGTTATTAATATTCCGAAAAATCATTTAAGGTTAATGAAGTCTGTGGGAATTTTATGAAGTGGTTTGATGTGAAAATATTGAAATTAAGTGTGTTTAAACTCAACTTGACATTTGGGATAAAAATACCATTTTTATGATTTTTCAAAGGACGTGCAAGAAATTGAAGTGAAAAAAAATTATAATTTTTGGATCAGAAATTAGAGCTCGATCTGATGAACGTGTAGACACAAGAAGCTCGTGAATCGGTGTAACACCCCGACTCTAAATTTATCCCCTGTTGTAATTAAATTGAGTGAAATTACGAATTTACCTTGGGGATAGGGGTAATTTGGTCATTTCTTATCCGAAAGGAATTTGGGAATTCCGGCTGTACCGTTGCGTAGAGCGTGGCGAGATGAGTCCGTAGACGCGTAGTGGGCTTGAATCGGAGCTGTAACGAGAGAGATACGATGCAAATACCCTTAGTGGCACAACCGTAAATATTTCGAAAAGAGTTTTTGTTAAAAGACAGAATTGCCCTCATTTCTCTCTCTCTCTCTCTCTCTCTCTCTCTCTCTCTCTCTCTCCGCGTGTCTCTCTCTCCCTCCCTGTCTCGAAATCCCCCCGGTTACTGTAGCAGCCGCGCGCTCCGCCCGCTGCCACCGCCACCTCCGGCCACCACCTGGGCCGGGACCAGTCCCAAAATGACCGGCTTGACTTCGCCGTCCTTCCCCACCTGTTCTCCAACGCCAGCCGGTAGCGACGTCGCTGGATTTTGCAGAAAACCGACCGGGTCGAGAGCAAAATTCCAGCCGCTCGTTCTCCGTTGTCCGGCCGCCATTTTTGGCAATCCAGGTATGGAAATCTATCTACTGCTCGAGCTCTAGCTGATGGTTGAGTAGGATTGTCACGATTTTGAGGGTAGATTGTCTGATTTTCGAATTAGGGTTCGGCCGGTTGTTGGATCGCATTCCCGGCCACTTCCGTCCATTTTTCAGGGTATGTCCAAGAACAAAAGTGGCTCAGAATAGGGTTTTACATCTAGGATAGGAAGCTTGGCCGGCGGTTTGGAGTTTTCCGGCTGCCGGAAATTACTCAAGGCACCCACGCCCTGCCGGCGCGTGTGGCGACGCGTGGGCTAGGAAAATGGACCGGCTCGAGGTTCTAAAATGATCTCCTAGTTCTCACGAGTGCATAGGATTTTGCGGATCTCAATTTGGATATCATTAGGGTCCCGAACGGGTATCGCATATCACGCATTATCCGGGTTCGCTAGGTTTGGACCGTTGGATGGTCTTGAGTTTATTATAGATTAATTTGGACATCCTTAGGATCGTGTAGGATTCGACGGATCGAAAAACGGAGTCCCGGATACTCCAGAAATGCTAACCCTAAGGTTAGGGTTTTAGTAACCGTCCAATCGTGCGATCGTGAGCGATCCGACCGTCCGATCTGGACCAAACTTGCAGGACGAGTGTCCTAAACCATGTACCATTCATAGAAACTGCCGGATTGGAATTTGGAGGTCGTGGGCCCCGCGGTCCAGTTTGACCAAGGTTGGGTAGTTTGACCCTGGGTTGACCGTGAGACTTCCTAGGTACTGTGCGAGCTGGTGAGAATGTAGCCAGGCCCAAATTTGAGGTCGCACGTGTCGTAGGAGTAGCCGGCGTGTTGACAGACCCCATACGTGGCCGGGGGCGTCCCGACGTATGAGGTGAGATATGATTGTGTGCGGGCTGGTGAGAATGTAGCCCGGCCCATAGCGGACAGTTAGATGGCTGGTGAGAATGTAGCCCGGCCCATAGCGGACAGTTAGATGGCTGGTGAGAATGTAGCCAAGCCCATAGCGGACAGTTAAATGGCTAGTGAGAATGTAGCCAAGCCCATAGCGGACAGTTAGATGGCTGGTGAGAATGTAGCCCGGCCCATAGCGGACAGTTAGATGGCTGGTGAGAATGTAGCCAAGCCCATAGCGGACAGTTAGATGGCTGGTGAGAATGTAGTCAGGCCCAAAGTTGAGGTCGCACGTGTCGTAGGAGTAGCCGGCGTGTTGACAGACCTCATATGTGGCCGGGTGCATCCTGACATATGAGGGGAGATATGATTGTGTGCGGGCTGGTGAGAATGTAGCCCGGCCCATAGCGGACAGTTAAATGGCTAGTGAGAATGTAGCCAAGCCCATAGCGGACAGTTAGATGGCTGGTGAGAATGTAGCCAGGCCCAAAGCAGACAGTGAGACATGATGATGGGGTCCCACGTATCGTAGGATTATTTCTGGCGTGTGGACAGGCCCCATATGCGACGTTGGATGTTCCGGCGTATGGGGAGATTATGTGAGTTTTTAGGAGATAAATTAAGGTTTGTGATTAGTGAGTTGTAATCCCTTAGTGGAGGGTGTTAGAGAAAGAATTACGTGTGGCTTGATCCCTTAGTAGGGTATGTAGGCAGCCTGGGATAGTGCCTAGGTGCAGCCGTAGACTAGGTTTAGTTAGGTGCTTTGTTGAGTGGTGCTGACCTTGTCTTTGGTCATGAGACTCGGATGAGACTGACCTTGTCTTTGGTCATGAGACTCGGATGAGACCGAGTTTAGATGTGACTAGATAATTGTTCATACTCCCGTTTGACTACGGGAGGGTGGTGTTAGTGCGCTGTGGTTGAATTAGGGGCAAGACCCGGTTGGGTGATAAAAATGTGTTTCATACAGGTGGAAATTTTGGGGAAATGTTCAATTTACAGGGGAGGCCCTGCCGAAATTTCGGCAGAAAGTCTCATACCCCTACTCCTTTTTGAAAAAGGAGGTTACAGTCTAGTGAGTGGGCCCGACATCGGGGTGATATCGGGGTTTCCACAGGATTCGTCTCGGGTTCCGGGAAATTCGAGGCGGGTCCTGTCAATCAGAGTTATAACGAAGGAAAAATTTGAGTTTAAAAAGGTTGGATATGTTTGAAAAGGCAAAATATGATAAGCGGCCAAAAATTGATTTCTATAAATATTGGGGCCATTGTGGCCACCTGAATGGTGGATCAGAGTCGACCCGACGATTCCGGCAACAAATTGGATTGTCCTAAGGTTTTGAAGCACACA